TGACAAGTGTCCCTTTCCCATAGCTGAGCCCCCGCCTTCCTGAGCCTTCAACCCTCATGGAGAGCAACCCCCTCAGTCCTCGCCCCTGACTCCACCTTCCAGCCTCCAAGCCAGTATCAGCACCTGTCTGACCCTCCCAGGCCTGGGGTTTCTCTCCATGTCCCTGCAGCACCCCTGTCTTGGTGAAGGGCTCACCTTCCCTCCTAGCTGCTCTCTCCTCTCTGTTCTCCGACTCGCTCCCACTCGTTCCACAATGGGAACCCACTCCTCGATTCCCACTTCCATCCATTCCCTTCACTCTTCAGCCCAAGACCATGTGGTTTGGGTCTCCTCCGACCACACCCCCAAAACTGCCCCTCACCTCCTAATGCAAGTCTGGGAGATGAGCTTCGAGCTTCTGGGAGACGGGCTTCGAGCTTCGGAGCGCTGGTGTGGTCTCCCGCAGCGGCCCTGCAGAGCTCTGCCTTTCCTGCTGGGCTTCGACCCCTGCTCCTCTCACTCTGCCCCTTGTCCCCCTGCTAGAACATTCCTTCTCAGCTTCTCTCTGCTTGTGTATTGATGTGTTGCCCAAGCCTCAGCCCTTGGCTTTCTTCTCAGGCTGCACAATTTCTGCCTTGGGATGCTTCTGCTCTGGTGGATTGAATCACCAGTGACGGCTTCCGGACCGACCCATGAATCCTCTCATCTCTCTACAGCCAGTTTCTTGATGGTTCTCCTTCCTCTCCTTCCCTTTACTCTTCAACATAGCCCTCTGCTCCCAACCCCATCATGAGTGCCAGTCCCCTGTTTGTCGCTGACTCCCTACACGACATCTCCACAGCATCTGACTCTGCCTGGGCCCTGCCTCCGCAGACTGCTCTTCTCCTGACTCCCATCATGCATTGTGCTTCTAGGCACCCCATCCATCTGTTTGTTCCCTCTTGGCCTCTTTGCAGGCTCTTATTTTCCATTTTTCTCTTTAATGTCTAATTCTTCTTCTCACTCGCTCAGTTCACTGTCCTTCCCATTTCATAGATCTCCTTTGCTGCCTGTACCATCTCACAGGTCTCCTTTGCTGTCTGTACCATCTCACAGGTCTCTGTTTTCATGTGAAGGACTCCATGTCTCGGTCTCCAGGCAGAATGTTTCCCTTCAGTTCCTGACCCACATGTTCAGCTACCCAGCACACACCTTCCCTGGGGTGTCCCAGGGGAACCTCAGACTCAAGACACCTAAACCTTAACTACTCATCATTCCTCTGCTCAAAGCTGCTCCTCTTCTGCTCCTGCTCTCAGTGAAGGGCCATCAGCCACTCTGCTACACACACCCAGCTCCTTGGAGTCATCGGGGTCGTGCTTTGTCTGTCCCTCACCTCCACGTCCAGCCCACTGCCTACGCTTGTTGATTCCATCACCAAAGATTTTATGTGTCCACTGCTTGTCATCCTCCTGGCTCAGCGACATCTCTTTGCACCTGGAAGTCAGCCTGCCTCCAGTTTCGTGCTCCCTCTAGTCCATTCTCCACACTTCAGAGTGATCTTCCTAATATGGGCACCTGATCTTGCCTCCTACTTTAAAGCCACCGGTGATTCCTCATTGCTTTTCAGATAACGTCTGAACTCTTATCTGTGAGTTCAAGACTCTTCCTCACCTGGCCCTGCCTGATGTCTAACCACTCGCTCCACACTCTAGCCTTGCCATACTAACTCCAGATCCCTGCATGGGCCATCTTCCTCTTGCTGTGTCACTGATCGCTTTGAAGGAGAATGCACCCAGAATTGATTGTTGCTGGGTGAATGGGAGGCAGGTAGTGGGGTTCTGAGATGGCCTTTCACAATGCTGTCCTTGATACAAGTGATAACAAAGAATAAGCGAGAACAGAGCTGCAGAGACCAGCTAACAGGACACCCTTGTGACTGCAGTTATGGAAAAAGAGGCAGAAGCCTAGAAGGAGCTTACATGTCAATAATGAATTAAGTAAAAATCTTGAGTAATAAAGGATTTCTCTTTGGAGTAGAAGTAGTACCTAAAATCTACAGGCTTGTTGATACAGCTCAATAGACATCCAAAGTGGAAACTCATCCCAAGGGCTCTCTCGTAACTCCAATACAACATTTGGACTATTTTTGCTCTCATAATAGCCAAACCAACAAGAATGATACTAACTTTTAATGTCTTGATCAATTCAATGGTAACATTGACTCTTTACAAATAAATTCTACATTGAACCAAAACCAGACTAGTCATACTTTCAGTCTCCCTGTCACCTGTGTTGTCCTAACCCAGGGCTCCACATTTTTTGCTCCCTCTGCCTGGAACACATGCTGGCTGTGAAGCCTTGTCCAAGTCATTTAACCTCTCCACTTCCTATTCTGTAAAAGTGGGTGTTCATGAAAACAGTAGCAGCACCTGTTTCATGGGTTGTGGGGATTAAATGAGCAAATACTTGTAAAGCTTTGAGAGCTGTGTCTGCCACCGAATAAGTGCTCACCAGTTAGTAAGAAGCTGCTGTGATGTGATGATGGTGGTGGTGGTGATGATGGTGATGGTGGTAATGATGGTGGTGGTGATGATGGTGGTAATGGTGGTGATGGTGTTGGTGATGATGGTGGTGATGGTGATGATGATGGTGGTGATGGTGATGATGATGGTGGCGATGGTGATGATGGTGGTGGTGATGGTGGTGGTGGTGGTGATGATGATGGTGGTGGTGGTGATGATGGTGGTGGTGATGATGGTGGTAATGGTGGTGATGGTGTTGGTGATGATGGTGGTGATGGTGATGATGATGGTGGTGATGATGATGGTGGTGGTGGTGATGATGGTGATGATGGTGATGGTGATGATGGTGGTAGTGGTGGTGATGATGATGGTGGTGATGGTGATGGTGGTGGTGATGGTGGTGGTGGTGATGGTGGTGGTGGTGACGATAGTGGTGATGGTAGTAATGGTGATGAAGGTGAGATGACGATGATTTTGTTGTCATTGTTACTATGTTTGGAATTCTCCAATTCCCTCCTTCTGCTTCCCTTCTTCCCACCCATTCTCCTGCTCTAAAATGAGAGGTCATTCTTGGAGCAGGTGCTCCCCTAGCCCCTCCAGAGTGGCATCCTTTTCAGTGGTGGTAAGGTAGGCATACGAGATGCAGCCTTTTGTGCAGGATCCCCGGCTGGGGATTTGACTGCAGGTCCAGCCAACTCTGAAGCCTGAACTCTGGTCCACTTCATGTACCATTTCCAGGCATCTGTTCTCCCAGCTCTGTCTCTAGCTCCTTGCCACCTGGTTCTTCCTAAGTGGCTCCTCTCCTTCCTTCTCAACTGGCTTCTCTCCCATGGGCCTCTTGTTCACTCATTGGCCCTGCTGTTCACCCCTAGCCTGGTGAACTCTGAGACTCCTCTCCCTCTTGGCTGCTTATTGATTGCTGTTCAACCTGATTGTCTTCCTGAAGCATCTCTCAAATCTTTCCATCTCGCTATTGAACAGAATTTTGTTTAAGACTTTCTCGCCTGGATGATTTTCCTCCCTAATGGTCCCGCATATCTCTGGTCTCCACTGGGACTGCCAGAGGAAACTTTCCAACATGTAAATCAGGTCAGGCTCTGCTTAAAACTTGCCATAGGCTCCCTGTTGTTTAAACAGCTCTGACAAAGGTCCCCAGAAAACTCTGCAAAACAAAGCTTCTGTGGCCAAAATGCCCAGGAAATGCTGCCCGTCCAGCCGCTCTTAACAGTCACTCTGCACTGAAGCATAATCAAGGTAGAAGAAGTCCTGCAGTAAAGAATCCTGTTTGGACTCATTGACTTGGGGGTCCCCATCCTCCTTGATGCAGTGATCTTTTCTTCACAGCCTCCAGTATGCATTTGGGGGAATCACGTTCCAGTGAATACTCTTAGGGACATGCTGCCTGGCAGGATCACACCCAGGTTCCTCAGCATGATGTAAAAGTCTCTTCAGGAGTGGACCCCTTACCTTTCACCGCTCCCCTCCCCACCCCACAACATAAGTTCTCCACAATCCCCCCTCAGTTGTTTTGCAGCTCTGCAGGCCTGCTCCTAGAGGGCCATTGCCTCTGCCTCCTAATGGCAGTTCTCAAGAGCTGGCCCAGGTGGCAACTCCTGTGACTCTGTCCCTCTCTTCTTTTTGGCCCAGTATTATATGGCTTATGGCTGTCAGCATTTGCTTGTTTGGGGGTCTCTCTCTGCACCACTGAAAGATCAGCTCCCTACAGAGTGACCAGGCTGTTTGCCTTCACGTCCCCAGTGCTCACTCACAGATGGTACCTAGTAGGGGTTGCTGAGTGTCAGTTGAACAAGTTGATGAGGGACCGAGATCAAAGGTCTGAGATTTGGAGCTGGGACTGGAGAGCACACTGCCTCACAGGACGGGTCTAAGCCAGGGGTTCTCAACCTCAGCACAGCTGACATATTGAACCGGATAACGAGGTGGGAGCTGCCCCATGCTTTGTCGGATGTTTCGTGCCTCTTCCACCCCCCCAGTTCTGGTCCTAGATGCCAGTAGCAACCTCCCTCTCCAGTGTGACCATCAAAAATGTCTCCAGACAATGGCAAATGTCCTTTGGGGAGCAGAATCAACCCTGGTTGTTCCAGATATAGGTCATTCCAGTTGTCTTTCTGCCTCCAGGCAGGTGGTCTTTTACTCAATTTCCTCCATTAGTCCTTTTATCCTTAAAAATTCTCAAGGGTTTAAAAAAAAAAACCCTCCTTCCAACCTGAGTCTGAGCTCCTTTTTGGCAGGGGAGGGATGAGAGCCTAAAGGGTGCAGCTTTGGTAGCTTCTCTGGGGATGCTGGAGGGTGGGGGAGGCCCTGAGGATGGATGGGGGCTCTTGCTGCAGGCGTCTATGCTAATTGCCTGGAGAGAGCATCCTGGGCGCTTTATAAAGCAGCCTGCCTGCTTGGCCTGTGCTTCCAAGAAGATGGTCGGTCTTCTCACCCCAGCCCGCGGGAGCCTGGGAAAGAGAGGTCCCTCCTTGCGCCGCCTTCTCACCCTATTCTGCCTTGCAGTCAGCACTGAAGGGAGCCAGGCCTGTGCCAAAGGCTGCGAACTCTGCTCCGAGGTCAACGGCTGCCTCAAGTGCTCGCCCAAGCTGTTCATCCTGCTGGAGAGGAACGACATCCGCCAGGTGGGCGTCTGCTTGCCGTCCTGCCCACCTGGATACTTCGATGCCCGCAGCCCCGACATGAACAAGTGCATCAGTGAGTGTGGCAGGGCTGGAGAAGGGCATCAGAGGCATCGGGGTGCGTTGAGCTGCTGGTGGCTGATGAGAGGAACAGAGGGGACACCGAGGAGGGGAGACGAGGCTCCTCGTTCCAGTTATCTGCTACCGGACAACCTGAGATATCCCACCCACATTCCCAACCCACACATCCAAGTCAGAACCACATCTCCTCCCTCCAAACCCACACAGGCTTGTACTCCCACAGGTCACGCTCAGTGTACCCAGACTGCACTAGCTGCCCTGCCCGCTCCATCAGCTTTCTTGCCCCACTGTCATTGTCTTACCCAGGCTACTGTCATCCGTCTCCTGGACCCCTGCAATAGCCTGCTCGTCTGTCCTCCAGCCCTCAGCTGGTTCCCTTCTGGCCCCCTTCAGCCCTGCAGCCAGAAAAATGCCCTGAGACACAGCCTACTCCAGCACGTTACTGCTCAAAGCCTCCACTGGCTCCAGACTGTAGGGTAGTTGGGCCCGGGCCAGCCTGCTCGGCCTCTCTCCCCTGGTCTTCTCACCACCCCGGCCACAGCTCCACATGCTCCAAGACACTTGTGGCCACAGCTCCATCCTGTCTCAGCTCTAACAAACTGGGAGACACAGGGGACACACTGCTGAATAATGGGCCTGCCCTGGTGGCGCAGCGGTTGAGCACTGGGTTGCGAGGCTGCCTGCAGTCTCTGCAGCGGCAGTTCGATCCCTGGCCACCGGCAAGGGTCCCACAAAAAAAAAAAAAAAATGCCAATGCCCCTCCTGTTTGTTCAGTGCCTTGGAGTTTAGAACGCATTTCCAGACCACCTTCTGTTGAGCCTCGCGGCAAGCATTGGAAAGAGATGAGACCTGAGTAATGACAGCTTTTGTTTTTATAGCTGATAACTTTGAGGCTGGTAGGGAAATGACTGGCCCAAGATCAACCTACTTGGATTCTGACCTCGACTCTCCTATTTATTCATTGGGTGACTTGGGCGTGTTGCAAACCCTCAGAACCTCATCTTTAAAATGGGAGTATAGTACCTTAGGGGCGAGGCATATGTAAAGCCTTTAGTGTCTGGCACTCAATACATGGTAGGTTCTTACTGTATTTTAACTGCAACCAAACCCAGAAATCAGCATGAGAGAAGGAAGGAGGTGAAGAGGAGCAGGGAGGGAGAGAAGCTGGGATAAACCCACAGAGTCTGGGAGGAACAGAGGAGGAATGAGAGCTTGTGAAGATGGGGGTAGGACCCCGGAGCTGCCCTCTTGGCCCTCGGGGCATTTGGGGTGGGGAATTCCTGGCTCTACCAACTCCTGGGAAACTGGCAGCCCAGGCCTCAGGTGCCAGAGACTGGGAGAAAGTCAGTGTAATCTGGGAATGGAGAGATTGTGCAAGACCTGCCTGCTGCTAGCAGAGCCCTGAACCCACCCTCCCTCCCCCTGCTTCCCCAGAGGAGGGAGAGCTGGCAGGAAGGGGATCAGGGAGGGATCCAGGAGTCCAACCAAGGTGGTTCCTGGAACTTGACCTTACAGAGAAAGAGGAATTTGCCTTAGGATTGTTCCTGACCCCCTCCCCGCCAAGGATTTTTTTTATACTCTGGGCAGAAGAACCAGGGTTTGGGTGCTGTGGATGCCCAGCATTGGGGGAAAGAGGAGAGCAGACAAACACTCAGGGTGGGGGGGGGGGTGTCTTGTCCTTCAGTTCAATTCTGAGGTACTATGAGATGCTGGGACCCTCCTCTCTTACTCCCACCCAAAGGGTCCTGTCCTCCTCTTCTGAGCTCTCTTAAGCCTTCCCTTGGGTTCCAGGGTTGCATTGGGTTGGTTTTTGGGTTGGGAGTTGGCTGACCTTGGCAAGTCCATGTAGCCCTCAAGAGTGACCACCTTGCCCTCCCCCTGTCCTTGCCCTTCCTTCCCCGCCCTTCCAAGACTTCGGGTCATTGCAACTCCAGGCCCCCACCCTATCTTCAATGTGGGTGGGGGTGGATGGCGCTGGGGATGGGGATGAAGGGAAGTGTCCATTCCAGGCTGAACCAGAGGCCCCCCATCTGGTCCTCTCCTCAGAATGCAAGATTGAGCACTGCGAGGCCTGCTTCAGCCACAACTTCTGCACCAAGTGTAAGGAGAGCTTGTACCTGCACAAGGGCCGCTGCTACCCAGACTGCCCCGAGGGCTCTACAGCAGCCAACGGCACCATGGAGTGCAGCAGTCCGGGTGAGGTGCCAGAGGCCTGGTAGGGGGCGGGGGTGGGGGTGGGGGGTGGGACGGCTGGCCTAGGAGAGCAGAAATGTGCAGAGAAAGGTTACCCTACAAACACCCTCCGGGATTTCTCTTGGGACTTTTCTGCCCTTTGGACTAAAGGTGCCTCCAGCCTAAGGCTTAGGCAAGAGCAGGTAGAAGAGGCTCCCCTGGGGTACCCTGGGTCATGGGAGGAGACATGACCCCCTCCTGCTCTCTCTTTCCCTCTCCCCTCCCTGCCTGCCAGCACAATGTGAAATGAGCGAGTGGTCCCCGTGGGGGCCGTGCTCCAAGAAGAAGAAGCTCTGTGGTTTCCGGAGGGGCTCTGAGGAGCGGACTCGGAGGGTGCTCCATGCGCCTGGGGGGGACCATGCTACCTGCTCTGACATCAAGGAGACCCGAAGGTGCACGGTGATAAGGACTCCCTGTCCTGAAGGTAAGCTGCAGCCTCTGCCTCCCAGGGGCCCGGGGTCAGACACCGCCCCAGACGTCTGAGGGCTCTGCTTCCTACCATTGCCTGGGAGAGGCCCTGAGGCCAAGGCCGCCTCAAGACACCCTGCTCTGCGAACCAGGACCCTGTCCTGGCAGAGCGGTCCAGGGCTCTGGGGGAGCTGGAAGCTTCGCGTCCCTATCCGTCCAGTTTCCTCTTTTCTTCTCAGTCAGTGATATTGGTTCTGGAGTTCAGAGGGGGGTCCAGGAATGACACAAAGTCTCACGGAGGTGGAGTGATTTGACCAAGGTCACGCAGTCAGCCACTGGAAATGATGTGGCAGCTGGCCCCAGAGGCAGTTGTGTGGGGCAGAGTCGTGGGGGGTCTTCCTGCCTGTTTTGAGACTTGCAATGAACATCTAGGGAGTGCTGTTGGCCCACTGGGACCCAGAGGGAGGAAGACATGAGGAAGAGGAAGGTACAAAGGCTCTTGGGACCTCCTCTCAGGACCCAAGTTGTAGGGTCCTCTGAATTGGTTTCTGGTCAGAGGGGGCCTCCAGGTGGCATCTCCAGGCATCCTCCTGCCTTCCCCCCAGGCCAGCTTCCTCACCACTCCCCGCTCAGGCCCTTGGCCATGCCCAGGACCTGATTGCTTGTGGTGGGACAGTCTTTGATGACCCATTCTACTGTTGGCGTTGCAGGGCAGAAAAGGAGGAAAGGCGGCCAGGGCCGGCGGGAGAATGCCAACAGGAGCCTGAACAGGAAGGAGAACAAGGAGGCGGGCACTGCAAGGAGACGCAAGGGCCAGCAGCAGCAGCAGCATCAAGGGACAGTGGGGCCAGTCACATCTCCAGGGCCCACTTAGGGACACTGTTCAGCCTCCAGGCCCATGCAGAAAAAGTCCAGCGCAGCTCTGTGTGATGAAAGCCTTACTGAAATGGAGTGGCAAGGGCAATGCACACACAGTCTCCTACATACATGCACGCGCACAGACCCCATGTCCACATATGCAATCAACAAACATGCACACAAGTGTGCACGTGCACACTCAAGGCCACTGGAATACACTTCTATTCCTCGGATGTCAACGTGGGAGATGGGGAGCCAGAGAGGTCCTCGTGGCCAGCAAAGGACCCACAGCACACGCTTGGTTTATGATGCTTGCAGTGGACATGTCGGGAGAACATTTCCCGGGGGCCAAGCCCACACTTGGCAAGTGGAGCCTTCTGGAGTTGCTGATCATGTCAGTTCAGCATGGTGGACAGGAGCCAAGCTTGAGAACTACGACTGCATTTCCAGCGCTGTGACTTGATCATTGGAGAATGTTCTTACATGATCCATATCAGGGCTGCCCTGACTGAAAACTGGTTAAAGGTTTATTTCAAATTAAAATGGAAAACCAAATGATAACAGTAGCCACAGGTACTACATTCCTTTTCAGTGTGGTGGAGTACACAGGAGCAGGAAGGGACAGAGCTGACTTTCAAGAAACCCCTAGTGACCTCCTAGACAGAGGGTCTAGAGCAGGAAGAAAGCTTTAGGGGTACTCTGAGGGTGGTAACCATGCTCTCTACATCCAGGTTACTCAGTGTGGCCTGTGACCCAGCGTCGGTGTTTTCACAGGGCAGCAGGTTAGAAAGGAGCATCTCAGGTCTCATCCCAAACCTGATGAGCCAGAGTCTGCATCTGAGCAAAGTTTCTGGGGACTGGCCGGCACATTCAAGCTTGAGAAGCATTGCTCAAAGGATGGAACAAAGGCCTGGCCAGCTTGCAGCAGGAGGGATTCAGGTCTGCTTTAAAGGAAGACTTTCCATCTGGAAAGGCAGAATCTATACACTGAAGTGCTGTGGAGGCACTTGGGGGGGCCAGGGAGTGCGCAGGCTTTCTGAGATGGTTAGGGACAGTTCGCCCCAAAGGTAAAACAATGGATGGAGTGACCTCTGTGGCATTCTGAAGTGTCCACTGGCAACCATCCCTGTACCAGGCAATGGGAATAAATATTTAGTTTCCAGGAGGAGCCACCATGGGTCCTGCACTCGTGGAGCTTAAAGGCTCATAGGGGTGACAGGTATGAATCAAATAATTATTCAAATAAATGTGTAACTACAAGAGGGTGGAGTTAGACGAAAGCAACCACCTGCACATACACGGAGCTATGAAAGTCAATGAAATTGAATAAAAAGATTTTATTTTAGAGAAGCTTTTCAGAGGCAGTGATAATTGAGCCAAGTTTTGAAGGATGAGTCAAAGGAGTTAAGACAGAGAGAAGGAATGGCATTCTAGACCAGTGCTATCCTATAGAAATACTGTATGAGCTACTTATATAATTTAAAATTTCTCTAGTAGCCACATTTAAAAGGTAAAAAGAAACAGGGGAAGTTAATTTTAATCATATCTTACATTTAACAAAATATATGCAAAATGTTATCTTTTCAACATGCAATCAATATAAAAATTATGAATGAAATCTTTCACATTCTTTTGTTTTGAACTAAGTCTCAACATTCTGTATTTAGTTTTACACTTACAGCATATCTCAATTCAAACACTAAATTTTCACCAAAGGGTACTTGATCTGTACTTAGATATCATAAAAACTCAAGTTGAAAAGTAGATGCATATGTCTAAGGTAGATAACAGTTTTCCAATAACTGAGTTGAATATAAGTTTAACAATTTTAAAGTAAATTAAATTAATATTGAATGGCAATTCTGTTCTTCAGTCTAACTAGCTGTGTTTCAAGTGCTCACTAGCTACACGTGGCTTGCAGCTAATGTATAGGACAGCATAGTTCTATGGAGAGGGCACTGCACATGCAAATGTCCTGTGGTAGAAAGGAACTTGGTGTTCAAGGAACTGAAAGAAAGCCTGGAGGGCAAATAAGCTGAAATGATTCCAGAAATATCCTGGAATTGGGCCTTTTTTTTTCTCAACTCCAAGGGAGACTGCCAAAGGGTTTTAAGCTGCAAAAAGATGGTCAACATGACCAGATTTTTATCTTGCAAAGACCACATTGGCTAGTGTAGGAGACAGGGGAAAAAATTGTTAGGAGGCTATTGCTGTCATCCAGATGAGAGGTGTTGCAGGGTGGTGGCAGTGGAATTGGAGAGAAGTGGAGAAAATCAAAAGGTATTTGGAGAATAAAGTTGGCAGAGTTTGGTGATAAACTAGATAAGGAAGAGGGAGGAAGGGAGAAGAAAGTGTCAAGGACAGCCCCATTCTGCCTCGAGCACTCAGACAGATGATGGAGCTGTGTTCTGAGATGGGGAACCCATGAGGAAGAGCGGTTTGGGAGAACATCGTGCTGGTTTTGGCGGTTTTGAGTTTGAGGGGCCTTGGAGGCATCCTGATGCAGATGGTGAGGTGACATTGAGTGTGAAGACCCAAATAGGGGTCCTGAGTACGCAGAGGAGCTAGAGTACAAACTGGAATAAAGAAGATATTTGAGACTGTGGGTTTGGAAGAAAGTACTGGGTCAAGAGAGGGCTCAGGACTTGGCTTTGTGACTAAATATGAAAATCAGAGGATGGAAGGTCAGGAGTCAGAGATGGGGCTGGCAGAGGGGAAACCAGGGAGCAGTCACATCCCAGAAGCTAGCAAGCTGGGGGGTAGATCAAGGGAACCGAAGGCAGCCTAAGAGAGCAAAGTAAAGGAGGACAAGAAATTGACCAATGGACTCACAGCATGTGTCCCAGTAGCAACCTTCCCAAGAGCGGTCTGGGGCAGGCCGTGGAGGTGGAAATCAATACAGACAATTCCTCCAAGAAGTTTAGGTGACAAAAGAGGAAAGAATAACAGATTCAGGCTAGAAAGAGAGATGGGGTGGAGAGAGTCTTGTGGGGGCAGGGGTGGGGGGTGGCGGAGAACCCAACAGGAAGATTGGAAATATTTAAAACCTGTTAGGAAGGGTCCAGTTAAAAGAATGAGCTTAAATACACAGGAGAGAAGGGGACCTCAGCGGTGGAAGGTTCAGAGTGAGCTCAGCAGAGCATGGAGAGGGCGATGAAGGTGTGGGAGGACTGGTAGGTTCCAAAGGTGAGGGATCTGAGATCTGTGGGCTCGTTGCACCCACCCTGTGGGCCCTTTCACCGCTGCTTAGGCCTGGGAGCCTGTGCTGGAGCCTGGGAGGTCATGGGTGCCTGTGACGGGCTGCTGCCACTCATCACCTGTCTCCTCTCCCTGTGCCTGGCTCCATCTTTGCCGGCCTCTCCATCTCTAATTTTGGTCTCTGCCTTTGTCCTCTCTGTTCTTGGGCTCTGTTCTTCTCTTAGTCACCGTCTGCCTCTGTTCCCACTGCTGCGGCCTCCGACTCTGTCTGTGGCCGCCATTGTTTCACTCCGCTTTTTTCTCTCTTCTGGGTCTCAGTTCCCGGCCTTGTGGAACTTGGCTATGTCTGGCACTGATTTGTTCCCAACTCTCAGATCCTTAGCTTCTTGCTATTCAAAGTGTGGCCACGGATCAGCCACCTCAGCCTCAGCTGGGAGCTCGTTAAAAATGTTGAATCTCAAGCTCCTCCTAGCCCTACAGAACCTGTATCTGCCTTGTAACAGATTCCCCAGGTAATTCATGCACATGGTAAATGTTCGCGAGGCACTGCTTTCAACGCCCCTCTAAAAGGACATCAAACAAAAACCCACCCTCTTACTGACTTCGAAGAATGAGCTGCACCCTTCTGTATTTCTTGTGCTTGCTTGGTGATGGCACAAGAGCATTCAGGCATTCAGCTTCCCTGCACCATCTCCTTGAGCCTCCTAAAGCTGCTTCTGAAACTGTAGGCAGATGAGGGAGTGAACAGGATCTGGGCATTAGGGGGTGCTGAGCTTCCACACCCCAAGGGCACTGGGGGAGGGGATTCTCCTGCTACTGATACAGGTGTCATCCCAGAGCATCCTTGAAAACATCCCACCTGGGCCTCCTCCTGTCTGTCACACTTGCCATGTTCTTTTCAGTGGAAAGTGGCGTGTATGTTTCAAGATGGGGAGGCAAGTTACCTGCGCATAGCCCGAGAAGCAGCACACCTGTGGCTGGAGACACAGCCTGATCAGAAGTCACACCTTGTGGTTTTCGGTGTGAGCAAGCGCTGGAGAAAGGAAATCATGTCAAGATTCCTAACCCTACCCCCAGTTTAGGCAACAACCACGCATAATTTGTGTGCAGCTGTTATCTGCCCACATTGTTATTGGAAAAATGTTGCTGTTTCCTCTGCAGGGTCGCAGACCTGCCCAGACCAACATATTTCTCACCATCTTACCCGGTGCCAGCTCTGTTATGTTTCAGACTAAGGCTCCGGAGGATGGATTTGTTTTGCATTTCAATATTTTGGGTGACACGGTTGTGTTTTCTGGGTTTGTTTTTTTTAAGTGCCCCCCCCCCCTTCAGTTTGTTTGGTTTGGTTTAGAGAGACTGAAAGGGAATTTAGGGAAAGGGTCAGCTTCCTGAGCCCTGATTCAAGTCCCTGACTCAAGGCCAGTTCCCAGGTGCCGGCTCTTTTTTGCCCATGACTCCTCCAGCTGTGGCCCAGACCAGATTTAAACAAACAACAGGTGGAAACCCTGGTGAAAGGTGGTAAGGAAGAAGAAAACCCACCACCTTTGAAGGATTAAAGGAACTCATTGCCAAGGGGCTGGAGTGTGTCTGGCTAGGAAAAGCTGGCACAAAAGCCCGAGTAGAGCAGATCGGAAGATTAAATGCCTGCGGCATTGCTGAGGCGGAGCATACCGGAGCTGGGTGCACGGCTTTGGTGTGGCACACCTCCTGGCTCTCCCGAGGGAAAGAGCTGACACAGGCTGAAGAATAAACAGGTTTTGGCTAGAGGCTTGCTTGAGTCTCGTTCAGCATCCCATAGACTCTTGGATGAGCAGCCACTGATGAGGCTGGTGGAAGAGCTTCTAAACTTTGTCCCTACCTTTCTCTGGCTCTGCTAGTCTACCAGATTGATGGAGGGGAGAAGAGACCCGGGCCAGGGGCTGAAGAAGGTGACTTGGGTCCTACCCTAGAGGCTTCCAGAACTTAAGTAGGAAATTGCGAAACAGGGTTACATTTTGAAAGAGAAAGTATGTGAAATATGGTTCCTCCCTCGCTTGTTCGCTCTCCCGGAGCTTGGTGCAGGGAGAGGTGGGTGAGATGGATTCCTGGCTGGACTCACTCTGATGTGGGAAAGAGGGCAGAGCCAAGCCCCTAGGACCCCTCAAGGCAGACCTCAGTGACCGCCAGCCTTTGGTTATTGATCATTGTTATTGGGAAGCACTTTTCCCATCTGTTGAGCATCAGCCTGGCCCATGGAGAAGGCCAGCTCCTTCTTTTGGCTGGTTTTGTCTCCTGAAAGGCCTGGCTTTCTGAGGGCTCCCCCTGCAACCCAATATGTACCATGGGCTGCTGATTAAATACTTGGAATGTCTTCAGGTCGAGCCAGGCCTGTCCATAAAATGGGAGGCATTTTGGCAGTTCTAAGGCCCCTGGCACCCAGTCTTGGCACTGACCCGGCTGTCTTCTTCAAGGAGCTGGGGTGGGCCTCCCGCCAGCATGCTTCCCTGGGAAACATCGAAGTGAGTTAAAGTCAACAATGAGTTCATCTCCAAGAGGAATAAGCCGGCTGCCTTCGGGCAGGGGAACAGGAGGAGGGGGGATCAGGGACTTGGGGGCAGCGGAGGGGGTTAAGTGATGCTGGAACAGCCAGACCAGATCCAAGCCTGTCAAACACACTGGCAGCTCAAGGAACAAAGAAAAGTGCTTTCCCAGGCTAGCCCTGGAAACTCACTTGGCACAGGTGGTGTCAGCGAGGGTGACACTAGCCCAGGGACCATGCGAAGTGTCCTCACAAGGACTGGAAGCTGGAATAAGACACTGACATGGGAAGAGGCTGGAGCAGTTGCATTGGCTGTGCCCATCCCAGGCAGGTCTGCCCTGAGAGCACATGAGGATGGTCGCTCAGGCAGTGAAACTCCACTGTTTCACTGGAAGATTCAGGTGTCAAGGCCCAGCAATAAGCAGGCTCAGAATCACAGAACTCAGCGTTTAAGTCTGAACATCTCTATCATCAGATTTACCACCAAGGGCTCCACATTTGGATAATGTTCCTGATTTGAGCCAGTGTCTCACTTCTGTGCTCTTCACCACCTGGACATGAGGCAACCACATCCTAAAAGGCATTGGACTTCTTTCCACTCGCTCCATCTGATGCACTGTGGGACTGGGGGGCAAAGTGAATCGCACTCTGGGACTCACCTGAAGCCAGAGCCACTTCCTTTGGGACACCAAGTGCAATCCCTGAAGGGCTGGGCTCACCGTGGAGGGAAAGTACCTCCCTCCCTCCCTCCCATGGATAGAAAAGTCTGATGATGGCCCAGCTGTGGCTCGTGCCAGTTGAGATACACATAATCCATCTGGTTCAGACCCTGGATATGCCCCAGGGGCTGGGAGATTGGCAACAACTGCCTTGAATATATACTTGGCCTTTTTCCCAAGGGCAGGACGATTGCCCATAGAACTGTGCTTGATTTCTCCCCTACGCTCACATTCATTCTCACAAGGTATTTTATTGTACAAGGTATTTGCCTACCAAGCATATTTACAATTCTTTCCCCACCACCAAACTAACACAATGTCCACAGACAGCGCATCTCAGTTTCTCATAAACACATGCTTAGCGCATTCCCATGGTTTACCCTTCTCCTATTCCCCCTCTCCGCACCCCCCCCCCACCATCCCAGCTTTTTTTCCAACCTGCTTCACCCTTCTGGTCCTCTGATTCCTCTCCATGCTGGCCGGCTTTGGTATTTCTTCTTTCCCTAGATCTTAATGGCCCCTCCCACGCTTTGTCTTTCTTTCCATTTGATGTATACCCACAGCTTCTTCACACCCAT